GGAGAAAGCTAACTCCTGACTTTCACGCAGGAAGTCAGTGATAATGTGCTAACAAGGAATCAAAGAGGTAGAGACACACATGTTATGGTTTTTCACATTGTGGGTGGTATATCAAAAGAATCAATTAAAGAGGTGCGAAAGGAAATGCAGCGGAGGGGACTGGAGACAGGTGTAGTTCTTTAGAAATCTGTGTATAACTAGTTACCTTTGTTTTTGTTTCTTTAAATTTTTTTATTTATTTCTTTTTATTTTTAATTTTTTTTTCTTTCTTTCTTTTTTTGAAAAAACAGCAGACAAACATAGATTACTCTTTGTAGTATAGTTAAAAATGAAATAAAGAAGAGGCTGCACGCGGTGGCTCACACCTGTAATCCCAGCACTCTGGGAAGGCCGAGGCGGGCGGGATTGCTCAAGGTCAGGGTTTGAGAACCAGCCTGAGCAGGAGCGAGTCCCGTCTTTACTATAATAGAAAGAAATTAATTTGCCAACACTAATATATAGAGAAAAAATTAGCCAGGCATGGTGGAGCATGCCTGTAGTCCCAGCTACTAGGGAGGCTGAGGCAGAAGGATTGCTGCAGCCCAGGAGTTTGAGGTTCTGTGAGCTAGGCTGACGCCACGGCACTCACTCTAGCCTGGGCAACAAAATGAGACTCTGTCTCAAAATAAAATAAAATAAAATAAAATAAAATAAAGTAAAATAAAGAAGAGAAAATCCCTTAAGAAGGGGTCATACAGAGACTCACTTAGCATCTTTTTAAAAAAATCCTCTTTGATGTATAGTTTACATACAATAAATTGCCAAGGTTTTGTATGATGAGTTTAGATGAAGTATGTGCATACATCGATGTAATCACACTCAATCTATTGCTCATCTCTTAATGAAGCAAAGACAGTTCATTTCCCTACAGCTAGACAAACGATTTTTTTTCATTGATTGAGAGCCTGGCGTTGCATTTAGGCGCTATAAATACAGCTCTCCGTGCCTGTCTTTAACCCTGAGAATCACTCTGCATGGTGAGACCTCACACTCCTGAGGGAGAAATGAAAGCATTTACGAGAAGCGGCGGCATGTCTCCCACTGCCACTCGCTCTGAAGCCAGGCTCACAAAGCACCATGGTCGCTAGAATTGCTCTCATTATTTAAATTTACCAGTTTTCCACTTTAAACCAACTGTCCCGTGTTCCTTTGAGATTCTCTACTTACTGATTTTTCTACTTCTATAATTATTGACATTTAAACTTTGGTAAAATGCCACATATAGGAAAATGGATGATGGCATGCGAAACTAATGGGGGGAAAAACCTGACAGTGCCCTAAACAGAAATGAAATGTCTTCCTTTTCTAACGAAGAGTTATGATAGTCAATATCCACACTGGCCTGCGAAAAATATTCTCAGCAAATATATAAGAACATGTGGGAAAGTAAATAAGAGTAGAAGAGTTTCAAGACTGCTCTAAATAAGGAGATGTGGGTACACTGTCTAGTGGAGAACAATTTTCCAAAAAGGCGAGGGGTGTTATATCCTCATAAACCCATCATAAGTGTGAAAATACATTTTAATAACCTTACCCTACTGAACACCATAGCTTAGCCTAGTTACCTTAAATGTGCTCAAAATACTTACAATAGCCTGCAGTTGGGTAAAATCATCTAATACAAGCCTATTTTTATAAAAAGTGTTGACTGTTGTGTGACTATTGCGTGTAATTCATGGATACTGGCACGAAATGAAGAACAGAATGGCTGCGGGGCACCCTGTGCTCCGTTTCGTGATGGATGCATATTGCTTTTGCACAATTACAACTGAACGGAATTTTTGAAGTCAAACCTTTTTAAGCGGGGATCCATCTGTAGACCAAAGAAAATTCCAGCTGAATCACACCTCAGAAATCATCCCCACCCCCTTGTATCTATAAGCATACAGTATGTCCATATTCTGAGGTCAGAAACTCCTGACCCTAATTTACTAGTGAAAAAAGAACACATGCCTACTATCTATTGTATCCTTAACTGTCAAGCCACATGAGCTTATTAGCATAATATTACGTTTCATAAACTAGTACTGACAAATGGGTTCATACTGACTTCACCAGGGGGATGAAAATAAATCTAGGTAATAAAAGCCAACAAAAGTTTTACAGGGAGTTTCTCCTTAGACCTCACAGAAGGGTTTGTGGACAATACTTTAAATAATGACCAATAGGAGTCATGGCATTATAAGAGAAATCACTCAATGTCTTTGGCGCTTCTGTCACATATTGTTGTGCAGAGTAGGTTCTTTCTCCATTACTTGTAGTTTTTTATTACTATCCTTTTATACACTATCTAGTGTATAGAAATACCGTTGTTCCACTCAGGTATTTCTTCCATAGCCTTCAGCAGCGCGCACCCTACTTTATTCACTATCCACCTGCGTCATCCGCAGGCTCAGGTGCTTGGTACCTGACATTGTGGGGTGCCCTGTCTAGGACAGCACGGTGTTGCGTATGGACTGCTGCAGGGCTGCCGCTGCCTGCCCTTCAGGTCTGCTGGAAGTCGTGTCTCTTCCAGGTCGCACTTACGAGAGCAAAGGACCGGCCAGGCAGTAGTCTTGCTGTGGAAGATAATGAGAGTCAGTCTTTTCATGTCTGATTGAGTAGTCGCTACTAGGAAGCACTTATTATATCTGTAGTCGCAAGAGATTAGGCCAATGAGTCAGACAGATGTCTGTACGTAAAAAGGCTCCTGGAGAAGAGCAGTGGCTGCTCTAGGGCCATTACGTGGAGAGAGGAATAGTGAGGTGCTAAAAAATGAGTTTTTTTTGTAAGGGTCTGAGAACCATTGTGTCTGGCGCGTGGTTTGTTTCAGGCCCAGTTTTGATAATAAATAATTTACTTACTCAAAAGAGTAGGCATTCTGCAGATAATTAGAATTCTGACACTAAGATGTAACCGAGGTCTGCGGAGTCTCTAGGATACAGACCTTTTGATCTAGAGACAGCCGTGGGAAGTCAGTCTCTCTCATGAACCTACAAGAACTAGGATAAACCCCAAACTTAGAGGCAGAGAACAGAGAGAGAAGCTGGCCTCCTTAACGAACTCTGCTGAGCCGCTAGTCAACGACCATGATGCCCGCCTTACTGCTGGACTGTCAGTGACGTGAGCTGACACGTCCTTATGTTGAGGCAGGTCTGAGTTGGTTGTTCTGTCATGGGTGAAACGCTCCCAACTGACAACAGGTAAAGAGCACGGGCTTTGGTGGAACACAGGTTTAACATTTTTGTTGTTTGTTTTAAACCTAGCTCCATCCCTTATTTCTCTTACTGAACTCCTCTGAGTCTCATGGGGATAATTCTGACCTAGCAAAAGACAGACCTTACCTGTCACATAGCTGGCAGGCATGCACAATTTGTTGGTTTCCCTTTACTAGAGACTCAGGAGCTCAGCCTTTGAACGTCACAGAATAGGAAGGCACCAAACTGTTTCTGGACTGATGTGGGAACTTTCAAACTCCAGGGGGTAGGTCATTTTCTGGAACATAAACTCATGGACCAAGATATGGTTCGTCAGCAGGAAACATATAACATTCTAAGCCACATATCATTTCTTTCTTTTTGGGGGGTGACACTAAGATATCTTTGTCTTCTGACATGTGTATTTTCTCTAATTCTTAATAATGGATACTTAAAAAAAAAATCAAGTATAGATACTTGTGCTAGACTTGCTATGAAAACCTACTGACACCACTCTCTACCACTACTTGTCTTCACCAGTACCCTACAGGGAATATGTTTTTTTTTTGAGACAGAGTCTCACTTTGTTGCCCCAGGCTAGAGGAACACCGTGGTGTCAGCGCCTAGCTCACAGCAACCTCAAACTCCTGGGCTAAAGCAATCCTCCTGCCTCAGCCTCCCAAGTAGCTGGGACTACAGGCAGCGCCACTATGCCCGATAATTTTTTTTTCATGTATATATTAGTTGGCCAATTAATTTCTTCTATCTATTATTGATGACGGTTGCTGGCTCTTGCTCAGGTGTTTTCAAACTCCTGACCCGAGCTAATGCTGCCTCACCTCGGTTCCTTCCCAGAGGGCTGAGATTACAGCTGTGAGCGCCACTCGCACCTTTCGGTTCCTAGTGGCATCAGCCTAGCTCACAGCAACCTCAAACTCCTGGGCTCAAGTGATCCTCCTGCCTCAGCCTCCCGAGTAGGGGACTACATGCCTGGGACTACAGGCATGTACCACCATGCCCAGCTAGTTTTTTGTGTGTATATATATATTTTTTAGTTGATCAATTAATTTCTTTCTATTTTTAGTAGAGACGGGGTCTCACTCTTGCTCAGGCTGGTTTCAAACTCTTGACCTTGAGCAATTCTCCCCCCTCGGCCTCCCAAAGTACTAGGATTGCAGGTGTGAGCCACCTCGCCCCGCCTCCAATATTGTCTTGAAGAAACCAACTTTTAGCAAACTAGCTTTTATTACTTTTAGCAAACTAGCTTTACCTACCAGAATTCCAAGGTAAGTATGTGACTGAGCCAATCATGACATTTTACCCCTCAATTCACAGTGATTGGATCAAAGATGGACTAATGTCTACTGTTAGGCCAATTAAATCCTATAAGACTCAATTTCAGAACTCTTATGTGACTATAAGGGAAGAAGATTATCTCTCCCACTGGGAGTGTTATGAAGCCTGAGGCTGGGAGGGCTAACACGTGGAGCCTGAAAAATGGTACCAAAGCAAAGCTAAAAAATGAATCCTGGTAACCACTTTTTAATACTAAATCATGTCACCTCTTATTCCCAGGTTTCTAGTAAATAAGTAATTAAATTCTCTTTTCCCAGCTATCAAAACCAATTTAGATTGGATTTCCTGTCAGTTGCAGTCCAAACGACACTAATATACTAAGTTGCCCTCCCTGATGGCTAGCTGAATAAAGCTCAGGCAAGAGAAAGCTGTGCCCTGAAGCCCAGGTTCCCTAGAAGTTTTGCCCACAGCAGCTGTTACGATTCATACTGTTGAATTTTCATGAGAAGCATGTAGGCTTCCTTTAGGACATCCACAGTCTCAGAGCCACTGAGCAGGATTTTCTGGATGATGTGAGCCACGATTTCTCTGGGTGGGTAATGCTGGGGTGACACAAAGTCCATCAAAAACTGCACGGTCCCCAGGGGAAAGTTTTCTTCAATGGTGTTTGTCACCATTCTTAGTCTTCGATGAGGGATGGGTTCTAATTTTTGACCTTTGTTCTGCAGAGATAAAAAGAAGGAAATTAGGATAGGTTTCTATAGTACATAAAAACAAGAGGTTCTAGAATAGGCTGAAGACAGCAAAGTCTTCCATGCATTTGAAATGTTTCGTAATTTAAAAAAAAGTCTTATCTAAAAAAATTTTTTAATGACATGGGAAAAGCTTATATAAAGTTAAAAAATAATTCAAAATTATATATATAACATGATTTCATCTATGAAACATAGCATCTAAAAAGAAAAATATAAAAGAGTCAAGAGCTAGCCTAGGTTTGGGGTAAGGGTAACAAGAGATTTAGGGGTAGTTTTAATGCTCCATCAGATACTAAAATAAGTTTTAAATTCATTTTGTTAGGAGAAGTTCTCATTTTGCTATATTTTTAAGACAACAGGAAATATTAAGTTGCCTTCTCCTCCTGAAAGATATGTATATAAAGACTGGAAGAGAATATATGAAAAGTGATTTTCTACTATGTGGGTAGTGGAATTAGGGATGGATTTTCTCTCTATATGTTCTTTTGCGTTTTTTAAATTTTTTCACAATGGGCAATTGTTTTTATAATTAGAAGGAAAAAACATTAAAAAGTTTGCTTGATATAATAGGAATATAACAACATTCAATAACAATTTTTGGACACTTACTTTATCCTCATTTAGTTCTTACAACAACCCTTAGAAATAACATACTATTATTACTAGTTTATAGAGAAAGAAGCTGAGATCTAGAGTGTAAGCATTTGTCATGCAACAAATGGCAGAGCTGGTTTCAAACACAGGTGGCATAACTCCAGAGCCATCCTCTTGACTCCTACCATGTTTCCCTGAAAATAAGACCTGCCCATAAAATAAGCCCTAGCAGGATTTCGAAGCATTTGCACAATAGAAGCCCTACCCTGAAAATAAGACCTAGTGATGTGTGGCTATGCAGTGTGTCTGCACAAACCATGCATTTCGTGGTGGAGCAGTAAAGAAGACGAGTAGCTCTTCTCATCTGCCCCATCATGACAGCTACTATCCCAGAGGTGACCGGAAAGGTGCGGGCAGCCCCACCAACAAGTTTGGCTCCCTCGTCAGGTCCCGGCCATCCTGTGCGTGCTGCAAGCTGAGGCTTTGAGGGGAAAGTCTCCTCAGTGAAGTGAGGAGCAGGACTCTCCGCTCCTCACTTCCTGTGTCCCCCCAGGGGGAAGAAGGAAAGCTGTGGCTGCCATATTACTATGATGATGTTCCAGAAGAAGACGACTTAACTATATTTGAATAAATGTAGATTGTTGTACTGTACTTAAAAAAAATAACACATCTCCTGAAAATAAGCCCTAGGGTGTCTTCCTGAGGAAAAATAAATATAAGACTCTGTCTTATTTTCAGGAAAACATGGTACTCTCTATAAATAAAAAACCAATAAATATATATGTTAAAAATTCTAATTATTAAAAAAATTAAAATGTCTATGTATAAAAATGCAACTGGGAATGAAATATACCAAATTATTCACAATAATAAATGCTGTCTGATAGTATCAAGGGTATATCATAAAAATATATATTTAACATAAATATCATAAAAATGTTTTATAATAAACAAGCATTATCTTTTTTTGAGACAGAATGTCACTTTGTTGCCCAGGCTAGAGAGTGCCCTGGCATCAGCCTAGCTCACAGCAACCTCAAACTCCTGGGCTCAAGTGATCCTCCTGCCTCAGCCTCCTGAGTAGCTGGGACTACAGGCATGCGCCACCATGCCCGGCTAATTTTTTCTATATATATTAGCTGGCCAATTAATTTCTTTCTATTTATAGTAGAGACGGGGTCTCACTCTTGCTCAGGCTGGTTTCAAACTCCTGACCTTGAGCAATCCGCCTGCCTCAGCCTCCCAGAGTGCTAGGATTACAGGCCACCGCACCCCACCTAAATAAGCACTATTTTTCAAATTGGAAAAAATTATTAATTTAAAAATAGCTCACTAAACAAAGATCTGACAGCATGCATTAATAGAGTGAAACAATGATGGATGGAATTGCCCTTCCAGAAAATCTTCTTGAGGAAAAGAGACCAGTTAGTTTTCCTTATGTCTCGAATTACCTTCAAGTTCCCCCTGAGCTCACTGATGAGAGAGGCCATGATTGTATATGGCATGTAGTGAGAATTAAGAGCTAGGGAAGACAAGAGAAAAACAAAAATTTGCTTCGATGGTTGGTTTTACATGTGATACACTTTATAATCTTGAACCTATATTATTAATATTTTGCCTACAAATAGGGACATCTACAAGCAGAGAAATGTTTATAAACCGTTTTGATGCCCACACCCTTAAAGGGAACAATATTTATAGAGTAATACTATAGGACCTGAAAGGTAGCTTAGCTATGTATTTACCTTTAAGTCTAACAACCCTAAGATATGAGCATTATGACTCTTATTTTAGAGTTAAAAAAAAAGACTCAGAGGAGTTAAGGCCAATGGCTGGTAAGTGGCAGTGGTGGGCACTAGCTGAAGACGTTTTGGGTGAAAAATGACCAATATTTATTTATGTTTTTCAATATTTATTAAAAACCCAAAAGAAATCATAGGAGAGACAGAAAAAGGTTATAGATGTATTCTAGGTGGCTGAGGTTCTTTAAGGTGGTAAGAAATGAAGAAGAGAAATCTGCTTTGTCTAGCCTAATTGCCAACTCATAATCCCAGCTATGTGTACCCAGAAAGGGGACAGCTTCTCTGTTGGTGTTGCACCATAGCCTTAACTATGGAAAACTGATGAACTCTCAAGTCCCCCAAGAGTGCTCTTGATGAGGGACAGATATGTCACCAACTTGAGGCAAACTCACAGGAAAAAAGAGAATGAGCCAGTGGTTGGGTGGAGAGAAGACATAAAACATATTAGAAAACAATTAAGACAAGAGGAAACAAATCATTCTCCAAGGCCAGATCAGTGTGAATGCCTGGCACCTGCTGGCACGGATGGATGACCGACTGCGTAAACAAGGAGAGTGCGTGCGCCTTCTGACTTTTTGAACCACTTCAAGCCAGTCTTTTTAATATGAGGGATGTGGTGTAGATAACAACAGAAAGCTTCATATTGTGGGACTTGGACACAATTTTTTGTTTTTAAAGACAGGGTCTCACTCTGTCAGTGAGGATGGAGTGCGGTGGCATGATCATAGCCCGCTGTAACCTCAAGTTCCTGGGCTCCCTGTAACCTCAAATTCCTGGATCCCCAGCCTCCAAAGTGGCTAGGACTACAAGCACACACCACCATACCCAGCTAATTAAAATAAATTTTTTTTTTTTTAGAGATGGGGTCTCAATGTGTTGCCCAGGCTAGTCTCAAGTTGCTGGCCTCAAGTGATCTTCCCACTTTGGGGTCTCCCAACGTGCTGGGATTATAGGTATGAACCACTGTTTCCAGCCACAATTTTTTCTTACATATCTAGTTTAGTTTTCATAGATCAGTGGAGACCAATGGGAAGGAGAATACCCATTAAAGCCTTAAAATTGAATTTCCTCGCCAAAGTCCGAGAGTAGTAATTTCAGAGGCACTGAAGTGACAAAGAATAGTATTATTTCTGTGACATGGGAGCTGTAATAAGGGCACTGGGAAAGTAAAGGGGTAGGAGCTGAAGACAAGAATTTTAATATGACCCATGATGAGTCAGACACTCTGGCACTTTACATGTGTTATCTCATTTAATGACCCTGGAGGTATGTTTTTACCTCTATGTCACACACAGGAAGGCTAAGGCTCAGAAAGGCACAATAACTTACATGGTGCCAGTTTTTTTTAAGTGTGGGGCTAAAATTTGAACCCAGATCTGACTCCACTGCACAGTCTCCACTAGTGGGAGAAAGATGAACATTTCATTTATACTTGGCTTCTCCTTTCATGCATGTACTCCAATCATCCCGACCTTATCCTAGGCCTATAGATAGGACACTTAATCCTTAGGGGAAGACACATTAGCTCACCTCTCTTGTATCTTTATCTGGTATTAGTGTCTGGAAGAAGAGGTGATGAACCGGAGGTCGGAGGAAGTACTTCAGCCGATGCAGGCACGGTCTGCTGTACAGCCCACCTTGTGGTGTCCGTGCTTGTACCTGGGCAGGCCCGGGGTTCGCTGGCTCTGACAGTGATATCTCTTTTCTGGCTGGGGTTTCCATGACAGAGAGCCAAGGAACCTTCTCTAAGGAAGATTCGGATTGTGGAGACTGCGGGCTGGGAGAGCAGCTCGGAGAGGATGGGTTTGAGATATCCATGGGAGTGTTAATGTTCTGCACATCATTCTGGGGGGAGTCAGGCCTGTCTCTCGGTAAGTGAGGTGTGTCCCCAGGAGAGCATGGCATGTCCTCTGAGGAGCATGGCATGTCCCCAGGTGAACGCAGCACATCTCCCGGTAGGTATGGCACATCTCCCGGTAGGTATGGCACATCTCCTGGTGACTGTGGCAAGTTCCCTGGTGTCTGTGGTGCATCTCCTGGTGACTGTGGCACATCTCCTGGTGACTGTGGCACATCACCTAGTGACTGTGGCACATCACCTAGTGACTGTGGCACGTTCCCTGGTGTCTGTGGTGCATCTCCTGGTGATGGTGGCACATCCCTCGGTGACAGTGGCACGTTGCCTGGTGACTGTGGTGCATCTCCTGGTGACTGCAACATGTCTCCTGGTAGCTGTGGCATGTCTTGCAGCTGTGCCGCATCTGGTGGGTATAGTGTGTTTTGCGGTGGGCCTGGTGCATCTCGAGGTAGGCCCAGAGAGTCTTGAGGTGGATGTGCTAAGTGCTGAGGATGCCACAGTGTGTCTTGAGGTGAGGCTGGCATATTCTGCTGAGGGCACCGCACATCTTGAGGAGGGCATGGCACTTCTTGAGGTGGATGAGGCAAAGCTTGCAGCTGGCACTGCACGGTGTGTGGCGGGCATGACAAGGCTCGTGGTGGACACGAGGAGGCTCGTGGTGGACATGGAGAGGCTCTCAGAGGACATGGCAAGGCTCGCAGTGGGCACGGCAAGGCTTGTAGTGGGCAAGGCACATCTTGCTGTGGACATGGCAAGGGTGCCCTCTGGCGGCTGCTGCTGCTGCTGCCATTATTGCTTGCTGGGGAGAGGGAGCTGACATCTGAAGACAGCTGTAACCTTGCCAAGAAGTTGAGGTCACCTTTGAACATGGGTGTGCTACAGTTCGGCTCTGCTGGGTAAACAGAGTCCCCGCTTATGGCTGTAGGGGGTTGGGGACCCTCATATGTGTTGTCTTCCAACAAGTCCAAATCCACGGGATCACTGTTAACGATTCTCCGTGCCGCAGGTCGAGAGCTCCTGTCCACTCGTCCTTCCGTTACGTCTTTGCTGGAGAGGCTGGGACACGTCTGAACACTGGTGGGCTCCTTCTGGGAAGGAGTGACGGGTTCTAAAGTCAAATCGAGAGTGGCAATAGGTCTGCTTTCTTCTTCAGTTCTCGTCAGGTCGATCACACAGAGTCCACTGCGATCCTTTGCCCTTGGTCTGGCTTCTCTAGTTAAGTCAATGAAGTCCTGTTGAAGGATTGTGAGATGAGAGGAGGTCAAGTACGGAGTCTCAGCTACAGTGATCCAAACATGCAGAAAGTATATTAGCATACTAATTTTATAGGATATAGAAATAGGCTCTAAATGATCTGGAAACAGTTTATGACACAAGTAGTTTTTCACATCACTAGGTATTCCATTCTATAATGTTAGAAGACTTAACCATTTGAGAAGACTGTCTGCTTCTGGCAAAATTCCAGATAGTTGAAAATGTTAAGACTGTAAGATTGACACAAATCTAATAAGTATGATACTATCCAGAGTATAAGAAAATAGGTACTTTCATATACTGTTAGTATAAGAATGTATGTGACAACCTTTTTGAAGTATAACTTGGTAGTTATATATCAATCAGGGATCTCAGTTGCAAGCAAAAAACAAAACAAAGCTCAACTTAATCACGAAAGGAACTTATTAAAGGAAAATAGGTAGCTCCTAGAATCTAGAGGAGGAGCCTAAGAACCAAGTTGGGGGTCTCTGCAGCTAACACTGGAACTCAAAACCATGTTATACAACTGAAGACTCCATTTTCATTGCCACTAGGCTCAAATACCCCAGCTGTGGTGGCCAGGAGCACCAATGCTGTACCTGCTCCTAGGACCCACACTACTGCTGCATGTGGTTGCCATTGCTGCTGCCATACTCCGCAAAATGAAGCTCACTTGGGTCCTGCTTCTTCCTGTCATCAGCTTCCAATCCAAAGTCTTGAATCGGTATCTCTGACTGGTGGAATCTAAGTCCTATGTCTGAACACTAGGTGCAATAGAGCAGGAAAGCGAGCATCTGCCATTTCACCTTAAGCAGAAGTAGATTATATCTCTAAAGGTGGGAGTTCTGCAACATAGTTCTAAGGCTCAGATACTAGGATCCCACTAAGAACGGCATAATGTCCGCAATAGTGGTGTATGTTAAAATCATAAACACATATTACTCTCTATCCTCAACATTCTACCACAAGGAACTTGTCCTACAAACAGATTCTTATGACCATGTAAGAGAGTTATTATATCATAGTCTATGACAGCAAAAAATATTAAAATCAATAAGGGATTGGTTAATTTATGAGCTTTTTACATTAGAATAACATGTAGCTGATAAAACAGTTATTGAATGAATACTTACTATGTACCAGGATCCATGTTGTGCACTGCAAGTACCATTGTGTGCAAAATGGACAATCGTCTGAATGAGGTACTAATACTTTTTTAAATGTCTAAAATAAATTACATGGTTTTAAAAAGTTAGTATGATCCCATTGGGTAAGAATTAGACATTTATGTATGTCTGTGGCACACAAACAAGGAAAATTTCTGGAACAATACACAAAAACTGTAGTTATCTAGAGTGGAAATAGACAGGGACATGTTCTTACTCATGACCTGCATGTTGATAATTTGAAATGGGGAAAATTTACTTTTCAAGTGACATGATTGTGTACCTAAAAACCAACCAACCAGAGAGCCCATTGAAAGGTACAGGGTTTCCTTTTGGAGTGACATAAATGTTCTAAGATGAGATAGTGGTGACTGTTGTTGCACAACTCAAAGAATTTCATGGGTGAATTTTACTGTACGGTAATATGGAATTATACCTTAATAGAGCTGTTACTAAAAGACATATTGGAATAATGTTAACACTTTAAAAATTAGCTAGCACAAAAATACAAAACTAAATTCCTCTCTGAGAGGGGACAACACTTTGCCTTCCTGGGTAGCCAAACCCTTCAACCTCCCAGAGGCAGCCCAGGATGAATGAGGGATTGGGGAAGGGATCTGCAGGTATGCAAGGGAGCTGACCTTAAGACCAAAATTAATTTCACATATGATGCATTAACCCTTTGCACTCAGATGTTGAGTGTGACTCAACATGGTTAGCAAAAATTATAGAGATTAAAATTACTCTTTGAATGTATCAATAATTTGAAACATAAAAAAATCCAAATAAATAAGTTTGTATGAAAAGGAACTCCAGTTTTTATTCTACTGCCGTGCTTTGTAAAATCTGGGGTATTTAAAAAATTAAATCCCGAGTAGAATAAAGGAATTGAGAAAAAAGCGAGTGCAAAGGGTTAAGTTAAAAAAGTTAAAAATGCCGGGGGCCAGGCGCGGTAGCTCACGCCTGTAATTCTAGCACTCTGGGAGGCTGAGGCGGGTAGATCGCTCAAGGTCAGGAGTTCGAAACCAACCTGAGCGATACCCCATCTCTACTAAAAACAGAAAGAAATTAATTGGGCAACTAATTTGGGCAATTAATTTGAGGTTGCTGTGAGCTATGATGCCATCACCGCACTCTAGCGCAAGCAACAGAGTGAGACCCTGTCTCAAAAAAATTAATTAAAAATATATGCAAATTTTGCTTTCTGTTCCATGGCAGCCCTATGTAGCTGTGTACAGCAATGAACTTATAATATTTGGAGGAAAGAGTTGAGAAAGAGAAAGTGATTTTTTTTTTTACAAGTACCTGAGAGTTTTAAAAGATAATTTTTGGATGAAAAAACCCTGGTCTATTTTTACAAAAACATCCATTTGAAAAACATAGAATTGTATCTGCAACTTTCCCCCCACTTAACTATTTCTAGCATCTCCACACAATGTTTCCTTGGAAACCTGGTGTGAGGTTTGCGCCAGGATTTTCAAGATGGAGACTCATGCTGATAAACTTGCTCTGACAGTTAGCACCTGGTTGGACCTATCTCAGTTTTCTTATCTATCTAACAGGGATACTGATAGTATCTATCTCATGGGGTTGAAGCAAAGCATTTAATGTGGTGCTGGACATAAAAGTCAACTATTCTTATTATGGGATCCTTAACATGATTAATATTCTCAACACTGCATGGCAGTCATTCTGAATCAAAACACTAGCTCCTTATTAAGAAAGCCACAGGACCCAAACAAAGAAAGCCTTAAAAGTTTTACTGATTGTCAAGAAGCAAACCTCATAAAATGAAAGTTATGTTATGCTTCTGATTAGAAAGACAGTATTATAAAAATATTAATTTTCCCTTAATTAACATAAAGCCAATGCAGCGGTTCTGAACTGGTGGCAATTGAAGTCCCCAGCCAGGGGACATCTTGGCAATGTCTGGAGATATTTTTGGTTGTCATAATTTGGGGGCCCCTACTGACTGGTATCTAGTGGGTAGAGGCCAGTGAGGCTGCTAAACATCCCACAGTGCACGGGACAACTCCACCCAACAAAGAATTATCTGGCCCAAAGAAACCTGATCTAATGCAGTCTTTGACAAAATGATTCTAAAACTCATTTGGAGGAATAAATGGGCACAAATAGCCAAGACATTTTTTGGGGAAAAAAAGTAAGAAAAGTAACTGCTCTACTAAATACCAAAAGATATTATCAAACCATAAAAATAAAACAGTAGAGTTGTGCAATTGAGAATAGAAAAATCATCTAAGGCCATTCCACCCTGAATGTGCCCGATTTCATCTGATCTCAGAAGCTAAGCAGGGTCGGGCCTGGTTAGTACTTGGATGAGAATAGAAAAATCAATGAAACATAATAGAAAACCCAGAAATGGACACAAGATTAAATAATTTGGCATGAGAATGTGTTGCAAGGAAATGGAGAAAAGATAATTTTCAAAAATGATACAGTTGATAACAGCATATTTTTTTATAATCTTATATCCAGACTATTTCCCCTCCAATACATATGCAATCAGGATGCATCTCATAATTAATGTGTACATTTCATATGGCGGTATATCTTTTTTACCAGAAAAGCTATTGTTATTAATAAATTGACAGCAAGTCCTAGATTTGGTGCTGTCTTAGAAATAAGACAAGAAAGCAAATTTTGTCCTAAAGTAAAATGACTGGTTATTTAAGCAAGAGGAAGTATGGGACAAAACTAAGGGTCTAAACATCTTCTGGAAGGTCCAAGTAAGCCATGGAAAGTTTCTGAAGGATGAATTTATGGAAGAAATTAGTATATAATAAGGTAGGCTATAATGAGAAGGCAATTATTTATGTCTTTCTAAAGACAGCTTTGATTTAAAAAATATATATAGAATATATGTGTGTATACATATATATATTGCTACAAAACCAAAATTTTGGTCCCCTATGTTAGAACAAGGTTTTCTTGAAGTATTGATCTGCTCTTAGTAAAATTTGCAAGAGGTTTTGACTTAATTCTGAAATCCGTTTCTTTACATTTTCAACCATCTTCTGAACTGCAGCCTTTCTCCGTTTTTCAGTCTCCATTTAATTTCCCTCATTTCAGGTTAAAAATGCTATCTTCTTCATTTAGAATGACAATTTCATTTCTTGAGGTAGAGTTTTCCTCTCGAAGCCTTTCAGACCCACATTTCAGCAGTTCAACTTCTGCTGTGTCTTGCTGCATATGAGTTGCAGGTTTTATCACTGCCGTCTGCTCACCCTCTTTCTCCCCTCAAGAAGGTACATATTTTTGCTTGTCTGGATGGATTCTCGCCTTTAACTTTTCCATCATCTCCTGTAACTTTTTTTCTCCAGTTCTAACTCTACTGTTAAGGCCTGACACTGAAATATTCTGTACTGAGGGCTTAGAAAAGCAATGCTTTAATCCTAATTCCATACATGGCCTTTCTTGATGTGCCTGGACCGTTCTGCATAACCAGAAAATTTCTCATGCTTTTACTGAGAGGCGTGTATAGTTGATCCTTGAACAACATGGGTTTCAACTGCACGGGGCCACTTATATGCAGTGTTTTCCAAACACAGATTTAAAACATAGTATTCTTGGGATATATGTACCCACCTACGTATGAGTGTGTATGTGTGTGTATATACACACACACACACATATCTGTAGTTTCTGCAGGGCCAACTGTGTTACTTGAGTATGCCCAGATTCTGGTATCTGCAGGCAGTCCTGGAACCAAGCCCCTGTGGATACCGAGGGACAACTGTATTCCCCTGCTCAAAGTACTAGTTTTCTTTGTTACATTCCTCTATAATACGCTG